GAGAGGGCATTGTCTCACAAAGTGACCCATTTTTCCACATTTAAAGCATAGATCTTTCATTTGGGCAGCAAAAGCTTCTGCCAGCGCACCTGCCATCATGCTAACCTGTCTGAAACTGTGCCTATGTCCTGAGTAGTTGTTACCCAGGAAGACAAATCTTGATTTTTTTACTGGAGCAATTGCTGCTTTACATTTTTTGAGTTGAGCCATCATAAGCAAGTTGTTTTATTAAAATCTGGGTGGCTTCTACGTGAGGAACCTTAGCCTCTACTGCTTGCTGGACCCTAGCTAAGAATTCAGCCCACTGCTCCCATGGCTTTTGTTTGGGATCAGCTAAGCTAGCTCTCACTGTCTCACCATCCGGTGTGGATCTCCAGGCTCTCAAGGCGCAGAGGCACACCTGATCAAAATATTGAGCTGGTAAAACCTTTTGTGCCTCAGCATCAGCGTATTGACCTTCACCCTTAAGCATGTCAGCTGTCACATCAACATTAGCTTGAGCGTTTCTTGCTGCCTGTGCAGTACACTCATCATGGTATTTAGACTTAAAAAGGAGCCATTGTCCCAGGGACAGGGCAGCCTGGGTGAGGTGCTTAAAGTCCCAAGCAGTAACTAATTTATGGCTAAGCTGATCAAAGATGGCCATGGTAAAAGGACCATGCATACCATTTTCCATTACTACCTTATGCATTGCTTTCAGCATTTTAAAGCCAAAAGGACTATGCACTCTAAGTTCAGGGTTGTTAGCTGCCATACAGCCAGCTGGAATGTGAACTGGAAAGAACTGAGGGGATGGATATGGCAAGGGAGCCAGAGGTTCTCTAGAGAAAGTGTCTCCTGTGAGCAGATTTTGAAACATGGGAAGGAGAGATTCACGGTCAGAAGCAGAGGGCGAGGTATAAGAAACATATGCCATGGGGAATGCCTAGGGAGGAGACATGGGGAGGGATCCTAAAGTGGGGTCCAACTCCCCCTCTCTAATAGAACTAGAGGCAGGTGGTTGCATTCCCAGAGGCTGTGCCACAGCAGGAGGGAGTGCTGGCAGCTTCACAGCACCCAGAGGAGGTGCCGGCAGCTGAGTAGCAGCCCGAGAAGGTTCTTGCTACTGGGCTGTTGTGGAGGGAGGACTGGCAGGGGGAGGGAGCAGAGGTGGAGGTGGCTGGGCTGCAGAGGGAAGGGGTTCCTCTTCTATTTGGAGACACTTTCAAAGAGCAGACCAGAGAGGGAAATAGAAAACAGGAACAGTCTTGCCCTGCTTTTGATAATTCTCTACATTATCTCCTACTCTTTTCCAAGATTCCAAGTCAATAGTTCCCATAGCAGGAAACCAAGGATTACATTCTATAGTAATATCTAAAAAGGCTTAATCTGTGTTTCTGTGCATTTAATTCCTTTAGACTTTAGCATGCATTTAAGAATAGATTGGAAGTGAGACCAGTCTGGAGAGAGAGAATTACCCATGTGTACCATTGCCCCTTACCTACAAACCAGCGTGACAAGGGGATCCGATCAGCCAAAGGGGGAAGAATTGCTCTGTCCACAGCAAAGCAGAGGTCTGAGAGTGTCCCTGTTCAGGTGCCAGTTGTCGGGACTAGGTTTGCTTTGCTTAGCAGGGGACCTGCTGGTTTCGGGGCAGAGGGTCTGATCAGTGACAGAGTCATAAACTCTGGGACCTGTGTCTTCCCAACGGGATGATGTATTTTAGAATTCAGATGGTTTTTATACATCCCAAGGAACTAGCAGTCACGTGGGCGATGGCAGTCACACACAAAGATTTAGGGCACAAAGAAACAGGACATATAGTCTGTTAGGGATTCTTAAACTTTTACTCAAGGTTATCAATGCCCATCGAGTAATTTATTGGCCACAATGTTTTCTTTCTTAGAGCTAAAAGATGGTGAAGTTTTAGCTTTTAGCTCAGGAGTAAACCTTTAACTTGGCCTCATCTCTTAGCCAGGGATAGCTGAGTTATTTGTTCAGGATAAGGAGATGAGCTAAGGGTTGTTGACCAAGACACTTTCCCACAGAGCAGGGAGCCTGCACTTTTATGACTGGCTGCTTCCTCCTGCCAGCCTAACAGTGTTCTGCAGGACAGGGATTATCAGAGCCACTGTTTTCAGTGCCCCTCCCTTTAGCAGAGAATGCAGCCTGGACCTATAAGTTTTAAGCTCACCTCACCCTAGGGCCTGGCATCCTGGTTTCCTACACTATAGCACAAGCATTAGGTCCAACAATTGACTAACTGTAGGAAACCAGGATGGCATACTTTTGGGTGAAATAGATCTGAAACTTTAAGATCAGATCTGCAATCTCTGAAGGGAGGGGCACTGAATACAGCCCTCAAATCCCTGTCTTGCTGAACACTGAAGAACTAGCAGGAGAAAAGTAGCCAGGTCAAAAGTTTAAGCTCCTTACTCTGAGGGAAAGCATCTTGGTCAACAGCCTTTAGCCCACCTCCTTGCCCTGAACCAATAACTCTCAGGTAGCACTAGCTAAAAGGACAGGCCATGCTAAAGGTTTACTCCTGGGCCAAAAGCTGAAAGTTTACTATGCTTTTTGTCCTAAGAAGTACACATTGTGGCCAATAAATTACCAGATAGGCACTGGTAACCCTGAGTAAAAGCTCAAGCATCCTGCTTTACAAATAGCCCCTAGCTAGTACCAGCTAAAAGCTGTATGTCCTGCTTCTTGTCTAATTGTGCCCTTAATCTTTGTATGTAACTGCCAAACTCCATGTGATTGCCAGTTCCTTGTATTGTATAAAAACCCACTGAATTTTTAAATAAATTTTGCTTATCACAACAGATTTCAAGTCCCAGGGCCAGACCCTGCACCACCAGTATCACCATCACAGAAGCAAGGTTCCCTCCACAAGGCAAAGCGGGACCCCCGCAACTAATGGAACCACATGAAACTAAAATGCTCTGTACACCAAAGGTCACTATTATTCACAGGAAGAGGTAACATACAGAATGGGAAAAATATCTTTACCAACTATACCTCTCACAGGGAGTTAATATCTAAAATATACAAGGAACTAAAAAAATAACTAAACATTAAAAGGCACAAACAACCCACCTAAAAGGTGGGGCAAGGAATTGAACAGGGAGTTCTCTAAAGATGAAACACAGATGACCGAAAAATACTTTTAAAAATGTTCAACAACAGGAAAATACAGATTAACCACTTTGAGATTTTATCTTACCCTCTCAGAATGGCAAAGATCCAAAAAGTATATAATGACAAATGTTGATGAGAGGAGCGCTTCTCCACTGCTGGTGGGAGTGAGAACTGGTGCAGCCACTTTGGAAATCAATGTGGAGATTCCTCAAAAACCATGAAATTGATTTACCATATGATCCAGCCAGTCTACTCTTGGGCATATACCCAAAACATTCTATACCCTACTACAGAAATACCTATTCATCCATGTTCGTTGCTGTCCTTTTCATATTAGCCAGAAATTGACTGATGAATGTATATTGAAGGCATACACAATGGACTATTATTCAGCTCTTAAAAATGAAAGTATGTGGTGGCGCACACCTTTAATCCCAGCACTCGGGAGGTAGAGGCAGGCAGATCTCTGTGAGTTCAAAGCCAGCCTGGTCTACATAGTGAGTTCCGGCCAGCTGGGGCTACAGGGAGACCCTGTCTCAAAAAGACCAAAAAATAGATAAAAATAAAAAAAAATAGTATACAATTTTCAGGTAAATGGATGGAACTGAAATGATCATTTTGAGTGAGGTAACCCAGACTCAGAAAGACAGATGGTACATGGTCTCTCTCACAGCTGGATACTAGCTTTGAAATCTTAGATATGCATGTTTCAATTGGAAAATTCAGAGAGGTCAAGAAACTCAAAAGTGGCTATGGGTAGGTGGGGGCGGGGAGGCTTCCTGGGATGGGTAGTAGAGTACAGTGACATGAAGGGGAAAAGGAGAAGATATGTAGACTATGTGTCTAGATAAATTATGACTTCACAGATCTGCCAAGCATTGGTGCATCCCAGGAAAATCAACAACAAAAGGTAATGAAAATTTAGACCGAAATCCAAATTGGAGTAAAGATCTAAAACACCAATATACCTAAAGTCTAGAAAATCACAAAGCCCTTTGAGTCTTTCTATAGCACAGCAATATTAAAATTAAATTCCCAGACTATTGATATTCTGTCTGTTTTAAAGATGAAGGAAGTGAGTTCAGTGTGGTAATGTGGATGGTCATAACTAACAGCAATGATAAACATCATTTCTGAGCTGTCTGAGCAGGATGTGGGTTAAGTACTTTATGGGTGTGTCTCACCACCAAGTCAAACCATTCCTCTGTGAGGAAACTGAGAACAAGAAAAGCCTACAGCCCAGCCTGGTACCAGCTCAGTCAGCAAAGAAAAAGGTCTTACCACACAGATACTGCTTCACAGTGATAAGCTCCCAGAAAACCACTGACAAGCTGTGTTCAACAAGGCAAAGGACTGAGGAGAGCATGTCGTCTTTCTCCAGTGGGATAAGCACATTGCTGGTCACATTGCAGGTATTTCCATTCGGGAGGACACTGATCTGGGGCTGGCGAAGCTTGTGGTTGTTTTCCAGCCAGGTCACTGTAACCTGACATGTTGGTAACCCAGAGGATGTGTATTTCAATTGGATGCTTGTCCCAGGTGCAGACCACTGCAAGGGGCCTTCCAAGTGGTAAACGTGACCTTTCCTTCCTGCAAATAGAGACTCTACCATGAGACTGTAGTTTACCCAGTATGAACAGCTTTCCAGAGTCCTTGTTAAAAAGGCCCATCACTGCCTCTTCAATTGAGACTTAAATATTTCCTTCTGACAGTTGCAAGGTTCTGAAGCTACTAGCAGATGACAATGAGATCACAGGGACCATGCAGCTCAGAGAAGACCAACACCACATATCAGACACATATAGCAACTCATACCATGCTTGTAGGCTCTTCTAGAACTCACCAAATCCTCCCAACACCCCAAATGTAGCTATCACTGTCTCCATTTAACAGATAAGGAAACTGTGGCTACAGTGGGTGAGAGAATTTGTTCAAGTTCACAACTAGTCAGTGGCAAAGCCAGGAGTTCTGAAAAAGGTAATTTAGTCCCAGGGTATGGGCCCCTGACCTGCACTCAGTGCTGTCCAGTCCCTGCAAAGGGGGCACCCCTTAATAACCCACACATGGGTCAGAGAGAAGAAAACATCTGCACAGACTTTGGGGTTCACTCAACCATAACTGCATTGCCACCCCCCACAGGCCTGAGAAATATACACCCTCCATGCCTCTGTTTGCTCACTAGTAAAGTATGGTAGATCTTAATTCACAGGTTTAATAAGTAAAGGAGCTGGTGTTGAGATTGTGGTGCATAGTAATCACTCTACAAGTGGCAACCACAGTATCAGAGACTAAAAATGACCACCTGAAGGGCTGTCATTATCTTTTTTTTTTTTTTTTGAAACAGAGTGCCCATGATTCTCCTGCTTTCGCCTCCTGAGTGCTGGATTTACAGGCATATGCCAGAAAAGCCTCCTTATAGATCATATTTATAATGTAAACACAGAGAAAGAAAAGGCTCAAGGAAGAATTCACAATGAAAAACTGATACTGCAATGCTGGGGTTCTGATTTCCAGTCAGAGGGTTTTTTTTTCTGTGCATCATAGCTTGCCTCTGTATCTCCAAGGTTAGTGCTATATTAATCAGTGATTTATAATATTTTCTTGCTTTCAGCTGTGGATCAGGCCCTATGGACACGTCAAGCAATCACTGCAGAGCCTCAACCCTGCCCCAGTGTCAAGATGCCATGTAGGAGCCAAGGAAGGAAACCTGGGTGGCAGCCATTGCATAGATGAAATAAGTTGGAAAAGGAATTGCTTTGCCTGAGGTTACACAGATGGGCATTGGCTACACTGATTTTGCAGTTTGACACTGATCCATTCAACTCCAAAGTCTGGCCAAGTTCAAACATAAGCCCATCCCTGATCCAAGGGGTCAGGAGCCACATATGCAGAAGAGGAAGAGACAAGATAAAAACCTGCACCTAGACTCTTAGAAGGCCCTGAAGTTAAAGTACTTATTGTGGGAGCTGAATATATAGATAGATGTGACAGTCCAAGAAAAGTAAATACCTTTGAATGAGACTTAAGAGGAGACTTGTGACAACACTAAGGTCTGTATTCTCAGATGAGAGTAAAGGGAAGCATGAAACAGAACACACTGAGTTAGTGAACTGACAGCTGCATCATAAACCCAGTTCTGCTAGCTATGACTCAGATCTTGGTCCCTCGGATTATGCACTCGAACCGCCCAGCCTGCTCCAGTAATTCTTTCTCCTGAGGGGATGGATCCTAGGTGGACCAGAGAAACAATGAAGCTCTGGACTGCAAGGACACAGTGCCCCCTTGTGGGAGAAAGAATCTGCAGCCACAAAGGGTGAACTAGGGAAGAAAAGAGGAAAGCAGGTGTGCATAGAAAGAAGCAGGTGTGCATAGAAATAAGGACCTTCAGTGACTCTCTTTCCAAGATAATGGAGTCAATAATTCTGGCCTCTCTTCAAAGTTAACTTCCAGAAACATCCAGCCGAACTCACAGTCTTGATTAATAGCCTTCCCCAAAATTATTTGGAGTCCTGTCATCCTTAACCTCTGAAATTTCTTGCAATAAAGTGTTAAGGTGGAGAACTTGCAAAATGACAAGTGCAGCAGAGGAGACAACCCATGTCTTGATGAAGGTGACTGGAAGAAGGGGGAGTACATTTTAGGGGTGGCTATGTGAGAATGTTCTCACCAAGGAAGGCATTCTCCCTCCACCTTCACCCAGGGTTGCCCTGAGTTCCTGGCTCTTCCACCATGATGTTCTAGGACATGGGGAAGAGAAGGCACCTACCTCTGCCCTTGCTGGAGGTCTGAACTTCCAGGGTGATGTTGGTCCTCACTGCAGGTTGGTCATGCAGGACCACCCAGCAGACAAACTCACTCCCATCCAGCATGGCATCGTCTTGTAATCTGTGCTCTAGTGGATATGTTCCATCAGGGTTTCTGGTGACCTGGCGAAGCTCTAGAGTCTGGATCTTGTGCCCATTCTTCATCCAGGTCAGGTGTGTACTTGGAGGGTAGAATGACTCACATGACAAGTCAGGTTCACTCTCTGAAGCACGTGATCGTGAACCTTCAGGGGCTCAGTGGTGATCTTCAGGATGGGGATAACTAGACAGGAATAACAAAACAAGGAACAGTTAGTGAAGTCAGTCCCTCCCCATTTTCCTGTCCCAGGGATCAGTTTCAAGATTTTTCTCTTTTCTTTCAGATATTTATTTGTTTGTTTATTGGCAGGGTCTCAAGTATTTCAAGGTGACCTTGAACTCACTATGTAGCCCAGACAGGATAACCCTGAATTCCTCCTGATCCTTCTGCCTCTACCTCTGAAGTGCTGGGATTGCAGGTGTGCACCACCACACCTGGTTTCTGTGGTGCTAAAGACTGAACCCAGAACTTTGTGCTGGCTAATTAAGCACTCCACCAACTGAGTTACATACAGTCCAGGTCCCTATTTATCTAAGTATAATTTTTTTAGTTCTTTGAGAATTTCATAACATGTACAATGTATTTTAATCATACCTACACACACAATTCATAGGTTCATCTCTCCCAACTCCACACTCTCCCAACTTCATGTCTACTTTTATTAACATTTTATTTTTAATTATATGTCTATGTATGTAGGCATATGTGTGAGAGAGAGAGAGTGCAGCTTCTGCAGGGGCCAGAAGATGATGGAGCCCCTGAAGCTGGAGTTACAGATAGTTGTGAGCCTATGTTCTCCCTCATATGTGGCTCCTAGCACCAAATCCTTTTAAATTCCAGATCCTTTTAATAAGAGGATGCTATACAGCAGTCCCTTCTGCATGAAATAACTACCATCATCATGACTTTGGCTGAGCCTGATAGATAAACATAGTCACAATTGGGCTTGTTGACAGCTGTGCTCATTCATTAAAGGAGTGCCAAGCAGGGTCACTGGACCCTCACCTGAGTATCCAGTCACTCTTCCCAGCCAACTAGTCCAGCCTTGGAAGACAAAAGAAAAATGGGGAAGAACCCAATAGATG